TGAAAGTAAGTGAAAAAAATGGCTCTGCAGGCGCACGATTAGCGAGGATAGCTAACGTACGCCATCCGCCATGACAAAGCAACGCAAGAAGCTTCCTAACCCTAATAAAGGAGATGAAGAAGCCATGGAAACACCCGCCCCTTCGCAAATGGGGCGTTGGCTCACTGGCATGGGTAGTTGATCACTGTCAACTCAACGCTACACTAAGGTAGGAAGAGCGGGTCGCAATAGCTTTTACCCTATATGAANGCCAAAAAGTGATCGCTGCCAACTCAACGCTACATAAGGTAGGAAGAGAGGATCGCAATAGCTTTTACCCGATATGAAGGTTGGGATCGATTTCCTCAGGGAGCTAGTAGTGGAGTTGGATTGTCTGTCTAGCCTAGAGATGTGTTTGTACTCCTAATGTCACTTCAAATATTTTTGGGTTTTTGAATTATAACTATTTTATAAAACTATTGATTAACACTAAATTATGCTACGAGAATATTGCTAAGTTGTATCTAATAGGAAGAAGGGCACTAGGGTCGTGACACTACCTAGATGGATAATTGACGGGTAGATGTTACTAAGGTTCGATTGACATCATTGGGGTTTATGCTATAACCGTTGCACAATTTTACCCACTCTCACACCTCTCGGTAGAGAAAGTGACTTTGCCCAATTAACTCTCTCGAGACCAAATGGGTAGGCAAATTAGACCAACCAACTAAGGTTCAAGTAGGGTAATTACTCTCTCGAGGTTTAACCCGTTAATTGAGACTATCATTTCTCATGAGTCCATCCCAATTCCTTGTTGGGTCAATTTTGGGGTCATAGACTCTCTTTCTCAAGAATAGTTAAACTCACAAAGCTTGAATCTGTGTTTGCAATCACCAATTCTAGATTAAAACATAAAATCAACCCAAATAGCAAACACCCATAGTCAATATAACATTAGATGACAACACCTATAAATTACCCATACTAGGGTTGAGCCACAACCCTAGCTAATGGGTTTAGCTACTCATGCTTGAAAAATAAAATACAGAAATAGATGAAGAACTAAGCATATTAATTAATTGCTAAAATTAAAATACAAGAATCTATTGTGAATATAAAGCAAAAGTGCCAAGCATGGCTACCAAATTAGTTCTCACGAGCGCAGCCTTTGTATGATCTCTCTCCATTCTAAAAAATGGTAAAATGTTCTATTTATACTAGGCTGAAAAAACTGGACAAAAATACTTCTGCGGGGTCAGTGCGGGCCGCACTAAATGGACCGCGGCCGCACTGGGCTCTTTGACTTTGACTTGTGCTTCTCTGAACTTGGACTCCACAGACCGCGTAGAATGAACGGCGGTCGCGGAGGGAGCTGGTGCGGTCCGCGCAATCACGATCGCGGACTGCATGGCACTAACTTTGCAAACTTTCATCTCTCTGAATCCCATGACCGCGGACCACACAAAAGAGTAGTGCGGCCGCGGAGCCTTCATCGCGGACCGCGAGATGTGTACCACGGTCGCGCTTCTTCTAGCCTGATTCACCAACTCTCTGAACCACCTAGTGCGGTCGCATTCCACTTTGCGCGGTCCACACTATGCCTTCTTTTTTTAAATTTCTTGGTCTTTGATACTTGAGCAGGTTTCACTCCTTTTTGAGCCGATCTTTGACATTTCGTCACTTTGTCGATTAAACCTGCAATCAAACATAACTTGTGAGCCTTTTAGGACTATTTTGTAACAATATATGATGAAAGCATAGGCAGGTAGGGGTATAAAACATGTTAAAATCCTAATTTATCAGTAGTGCACCAACAATTATTCAGCACAATCCATCGACAGAAGAGGAATTGAAGAATACGTCGGTCACAGGACTGCAACCATTGACCTTTGGGAGCTTTCTTCCACAGAAATTTCAGCCTATCCTGGAGGAAAAGGAAAACGAAGAGACAGTTAGAAAAGGGATTGAAGTGCATGCACAACAAGCAAATCTGAGAGTGGAGGAATCAATAGTACATCAAAAATTGCAGTTCTCGGCAGCAACAACCTCAACTCAGCAAGCACCAAATGTTAAGGAGAATGCAACTGATGACATACAAGAACAACTAAAGGAAAAGAGAGTGAAGGAAAACAGAAGTTCACAAATGGGTAAGCCTTTAACCTATATTCCCCCTTCTATGAGAGATGGTACGTTTGTGGTACAAATAAAGGAGGAGGACACCAGGGCTCATGAGGAATCGCTAAAGAATGCCCTAATTGGGTATGTCCTTGGGGATAATCCATATGAGAAGTCTATGGAAAATTATGTCACAAATGTATGGAATTTTGTAGCACAGCCAAAAATTCTATACCATGATGAAGGATATTACATTTTTCAATTCCAAAGTATGGAAGATAGAGACCTAGTTCTTCATGCTGGGCCATACACCTACCATAAAAAACCTTTTATCTTACAGCATTGGAAGATAGATTTCTGTTTTAACCCAAAGTGCTCAAGCATCATTCCTTTGTGGGTGAAATTTCCAGGGCTTCCGCTAGGATACTGGTCCACTGAAGCATTGAGTAAACTTGCTAGTGTAGTAGGGAAACCTCTATATACTGATAGGGTAACAGCTGAAATGGAGAAGGCCTCTTATGCAAGAGTACTGGTGGAAACTGATGTATCACACCCACTCTCTGAGAGCTTTGAGATACAAACACCAAAAGGAGTGATAAAGCAACAAATTGCTTATGATTGGAGACCCAAATTTTGTTGTGATTGTATTAGGTTTGGTCATGATACAATAGAGTGCTGGGCAAAGACAAAGCAAGCAAATGAAGAGGACTTTAAGGAGCAACCTAGAAGAAGAAGAAGGAACAAGAAAAAGAAGCAAATCACTCAACAATGGGTGCAAAAGATACATGTCTCTTCAACTTCAAATGAGGCAGAATCAACTGGGACTCAGAAAGAAGAGCAAGTGAGAATGCCCACAACAGAAGGAGTACATGCCATTACCAATCAAGTTCCTACAGAAGATCCAAACATGGCATTCAGCAAGATAGGAACAGGGCAAGGAAAACAGACTACCATTGTTAGAGGCAATACAGCTGATGCAACTACCTGTAGCAATAGGTTTGCAATCTTACAAAAGCAACTCTCAGATCAGGAGCCAAGGGATGCTGGGCCAACCAGCTCTTCCCACCAATGAACATTTGTTCTTAGAATATAAGAGGGCTTAACAAGCCCTTTACAGAAAGAGCTAAGAATCTTTCTGAATACATACAAAATAGATGTAATTGGATATGTAGAAACAAGAGTAAAGGAGAGGAAAGCTAAGAAAATCATACAAAAGGTGGCTAGTGACTGGAATGTTTGCTGTAATTATAAAGACCACCCAAATGGTAGAATCTAGCTAATGTGAAGAAACAATGTAAATATCCAGATAATTGAGACTACAGATCAATATATACATTGTGAAGTGCAGAAGGATAGATTCAAATCACTGCTAACAGTGATGTATGCCAGAAATGATGCAACTCTCAGGCATCAACTATGGAATCAACTTGAACAAACAGGAAAAATGTACAGGGTGCTTGGTTATTAAGTGCGGACTTTAACAATATGCTAACTTTAGAAGACAGAATAGGAGCACCAGTCACTCAATCAGAGACACGAGGCTTTCAAAATTTAGTGGATATGCTGCAATTGACTCACTAAAAAGTGTTGGCTGGTTCTTTACATGATGTAACAAACAATAGGAAGATAAAAGCGTGTACAACAAGATAGATTGGGCAATGAGCAACTATGTGTGGCTACAACAATATAGCCACATAGAAGCTGAATTCATGGATCCAGGAGTGTCGATCACTCACCAATCCTTATACACATCAGTCAACATAAAAAGGATTGCACCCTAAATCTTTCAAGCTTTACAAAAATGTCATGGAACATCCAGAGTTCAGGAACATAGTGCAAGAAGTATGGCAGCAAAGAACTCAAGAAGAACTCATGAACAAAATCTGGAAGAAATTGAAGGCACTCAAAAGTGGTCTTAAGGACCTGAACAAATTTATGGCCTCCTACCAGCAGAGAATTGATCAGGCTAGACATAAACTAGAGGTAATACAGGGGAACTCAAAAATTCCCCTCTAAATCAGAGCTTGTTCAATCAGGAAAAAGAAATCTTGACAGAACTGGAAAAATAGAGTCATTTAGAAGAACAGGTATTACAGCAGAAGTCAAGGGCCACTTGGATTGAATGTGGAGACTCAAATACCAAATACTTCCATGCTCAATGGAAAATGAGGACAAGCAGAAACCACATTGCATCCATCTACAATGCAAGTGGTATAAAGTTAACTAAGCCAATCCAAACAGAAGAGGAGTTTATCTCTTTCTTCACAAATCTTATGGGAGAAAGTGGAGGAACTCATAGATGTCCAGGTGTTGCAGTGGTTAAACAAGGGAGATGCCTGGGCCAACAACAGGAGAAGGCACTAGTTAAAAATGTAACAAATGAGGAAATTCTAGCTGCTATAAAAGATATGCTTCATGACAAAGCCCCAGGGGTAGATGGTTTTCTAATTAAGTTCTTCACATCACAACGGACTATAGTTGGGTCTGAAGTATGTGCTGCAGTCAAGGAATTCTTTGAAATAGGCAAAATGCATAGAGGCATGAATTGTACAGCAATCACTGTTATTCCAAAAGTGCCTAACCCCAGCCAAGTAAAAGAGTTCAGACCTATATCTTGCTGTACTACTCTATACAAGATAATAACCAAAGTACTCACCAACAAAATAAAAAGTGTAATAAGTGATCTCATTGGGGAGTCACAATCAGCCTTCATTGAAGGAAGAAGCATTGCAATCAACATTTTATTTACTCATGAGCTTTTCAAAGGATATAACAGGAAAAGAATCTCCCCAAGGTGTGTTTTAAAAGTTAACCTCAAGAAAGCATGTGATACCTTAGATTAGAATTTCCTTGAATAAATGCTACTAGAGATTGGGTTTCCTTATAAATTTGTCAGTTAGATAATGGAATGCATCACCACAGTGACCTATTCCCTCGACATGAATGGAGGATTGACAAAACCATTTCAAGGAAGAAGAGGCATTCGACAAGGTGACCCTATGTCCCCTTACTTGTTTGTCATAGCCATGGAGTATCTGCAGAGAGAACTTGCACAGCTGGCAAAGAACAGGAACATCAAATTCCATCCCAGATGTAGGAAACTGGGAGCAATGCACATTTGTTTTGCTGATGACCTACTGATGTTCTGTAAAGCTGACATTACATCTATCAGACTACTGCAACAGACATTTCTCAAGCTCATCTGGACTCCAGGCAAATGCAGAAAAAAGCTCCATCTACCTAGCAGGTATTTCAGACAGCACAAAACAAGACATTATGCAAGAATTGGGTTACACTGAAGGTATTATACCATTTAGGTACCTAGGTGTACCACTAGCATCCAAGAATTTGTCTATCATCCAATGTTGGCCAATAGTAGAGAAGATTACACAGAAGATCAACTGTTGGATAGCAAAATTGCTTTCATATGCTGGTAGGCTCCAGTTAATTAAATCAGTCTTGTTTGAGGTACAATCATACTGGGCTCAAATCTTTCTGCTGCCTAAGAAGATATTGAAGATGATTGAAGCCATATGTAGATCATTCTTATGGTCTGGAACAACAACTATCACCAACAAAGCACTAGTTGCTTGGGATAGAGTATGCTGGCCACAAGCTGCAAGTGGACTAAATGTAATTAATATGTACTACTAGAACAAAGCAGCAATTGCAAAACACATGTGGGCAATTACAATGAAGAAGGACATTTTATGGATCCGATGGGTTCACACCTTCTACATAAGAAACATGATAGTGGAGAGCAGTCCAATACCCAAGAATGCTGCTTGGGTGGTGAGAAAGATAATAGAGACAAGGAACCTTGCTCTTGAATTACAAGGAATTCAGGGGGATCTGATCAACAGACTTTTCCAAATATAAAAGGAAGGGAAGTTCAGTATAAGCAAGCTATACCACATGCAGTTTCCTCAACTACAAAAGGTACCTTGGAAGAGTATCACTATGCAACCTCATCTACATCCTAGGTACAAATTCATATTATGACTGGCACTACAGAGAAGATTAGCGGACAGACTCATCAAATTTGGAGTTCAAGTGTCCCAGAATTGTGTTTTCTACAAGCAATCTAATAAACTATTTGAACACCTATTTTTTTACTATCCAATAGTAAGAGAAATATGGACCAGGCTGCTCAAATGGCTAGGCCATTCTAGACCTATTCAGGCTTGGCAGGAGGAGGTCCAATGGATCAACAGGGCTGCAAAAAAGAGATCTAGTCATTGGGCAATTGTTACATGTGTATTTGGTATGCTGGTATACACAATCTGGCGGGAAAGGAATGTGATTAGATTTCAAGGGAGTACTCAAAGAGAATAGTATCTGCAGAGAGATTGTAATGCACATACATACCAGAGGGAGGACAATCAAGAGCTGGCAAGGAGCATTGCAAGAATTAGACTATTTTCCATTAGGCTCCTAGGCTTGAAATATGCAAAATGCATCTGTTTGTTTCTTTCCTAGGCTAGGTGAAGCTTTAAGCTAATGTAAATAGCAACACAGTAGATATGTTATTAGAGCATCAGACTTAGTGTAATTAGAAGATAGAGACATAGATGGCTAGCATCTACCTGATTTGTAAAGCTATTTTTTTGAATGAATAGAAAAGTCAGTATTTACCAAAAATAAATAAATAATGCAATTGCTGCTAATAGATTCTTTAAGCTGAAATATTAGCGGCACATGGCCATTAGCCACTAAAAGAATATCCTTTTACCCACAATAAAAATAATTGCTACTAAAAAGTACTAATTAAAATCAATTTTTATTATTTTATCTTTCCCTCCACACTTCAAAATATAATAATCTTTCCCTCCAATTTTTTTGGACAACAATGAATAATTCCCTCCAATTAGAAAATAAGAGGAAAACATATTCCCTTCGTTGAGCGGATACATAATCACGCCCAAAAACATCGAACAGGATTAACATCAAACATAGTCACGACTCTGCAAGCCTACTTCGACCAGATCTCGATCATCTTTTTCCCTTCGTTGAACGGATGTAGAATTGTGCCAAATCCCACATCGAACAGGATTAACAAAGTCGCGACTCTGCTAGCCTACATCGATCAGGTCTCCATCAACTTTTTCCAGAGATAAATCCTCTTTTTCCCCAGGTATAACTTCTCTTCTTACCCAGCAAGTGCGATTTAAATTGAGTTGGTATTGGTGCTGCTCGATTATGCTCAATCTTCGTCATCAGTATTCTCCTTTTAATCCGTCTCCAACTTCTCTTTTTGTGTAGGTTCAAGATTGTTGCAAAAATTTATCATCTCCTTCAATTTCTTGTCTTTTTTGCAAAAAAATCTGCTTACCAGGTAAACATTTGTAATTTTTGATATCCAACTATTGCATTTTGAGATTTGTGAAAGTATAGTTTTTCTGCATATGCTAAGTCGTTTGTGATAACCAGCTGCTGTTAAATTGATGTGCGATTGATTGAGTTTATTCCTCCTCTGTTCCTCTACTGTTTTATGAATTGATTCCTCTGTATATTTTCTAAGGCTACTATTATTCTTGTGACTATTCAGAAACTTTTTAAGTGTCGTCGATGCATATTGATATTTTCATTGAATCTACCACTAGACGGGACATGAATCCACTAGTCGACATACATACTGTTTTTTATTTTTGCTAATTGATGCGAGCTTTTCTTATTTTCATAAATCTGATGCCTCTGTACGAAATAAGCATATGCTCAGCTTGACTGATTTGATCCTTTTGCTCTAACTGTTTCTCCGATAGGTTATTGGGTTTACTAATCAAAAAGTTTTTCAATTCATCTAACAATCTACACTTCAATTTTCGCTATGAGTATGGCAAAACAATAAAGTTAAGAAAAATTATCGAAAGAATAAATAATTTGTGAAGTGAAGAAAGAAGTTGGACCATGAGAAAAATTTAAACTATCAGCTTTTTTCTGCTTTACTTAGGGATTGTAGTACAACAGTTCATCATCTTTTTTAAGGGATTATAACACATCATACTTCAAGAAAATAATGTATGCCTTTGAATGACCTCATTCACATTTCTAAAATTGCAAATTGCTATATCATTGCTGAAATTTGCAAATTATTCAGCTAGCTCATATCCATATACAGTGAGGGTTTGACAATTGTAATATCTTCAATTTTAAAATATATGGCGTATGGTTCTTCTATAATTTATAAGTAATAATTCTATTCTTAAAAAGTTTACGAACAAAAATATGAAAACCATAGAAGAAGTATAATTTATAAGTTTCATAATTCTATTCTTAAAAAGTTTATGAACCAATATATGGAAACCATTGAAGAAATTAGAGATAGTTTAACTATTTGATAGTTTTAATGGATTTATGTTTGATAGTTTTAATTCTTAAAATGATATCTTTGAGGTATGGAATTACCTACTAATAAGATGGTTGTTTTATTTGAACTATATTTTTTTATTAATTTTCTCTTTTTACTAATGAATTTTTAGCTCTTGCAGTAAGTATAGAACAAAAAAGAATATCTTGAACGTCATGGACAATCCTAGAAATAAAGATGGATGCATTGTGATAGAGTTAGTAAATAATATTTGGATGGAGTAGAGGAGTTTATAAACCATGCCTTTTCTGAAAAACAAGATGGAGAACAAATTGCATGTCCTTGTACGGAGTGTGTGCTTATCCATCAAGTAAATCGGACTATAGCATATGATCATCTTGTGATTAATGGTATTATGCCATCATATGATAGTTGATTTTGTCATGGTGAGTCTCTAAAGGGATCAAACAATGCTCAAGCAAATAATCGCAGCCAGTCAACTTTAAGGGGCGATGATATGACAGGAATGATACATGATGCCTTTGGAGGCTTTACACAGTTCATGGATACTGACGTTAGTGAAGGGGGTGACATAGAGCATAACTTACAAGAGAATACTGCTCATCCATCTAGAAATCAACCGCATCCAAAGGTGGATAAGTTTGAACGGCTCATGAAGGAGGCAAAAGAAGAACGATATCCAGGATGTAAGAAATTTAGCAAAATGTCCTTTTTAATGCATTTGTACCATACAAAATGCATGTTCAAATGTTCAAATGAATCGTTTAATGCTTTGCTTGGACTATTGAAGGATGCGCTGCCTAAAGGAGAAAAATTGCCTCATTCTTTCTATGAGACCAAAAAGATAATTGAAGGCTTGGGCTTAAAGTGTGAGAAAATTCATGCTTGTCCCAATGATTGCATGCTTTTTAGGAAAGAGTTTGCTAATAAGAATGTCAATAAATGCAATGTTTGTAGAGCTTCTAGATGGAAAAATGATGCTAGAAAAATTCCAGCCAAGGTCCTAAGGTATTTTCCTTTAAAACCAAGGCTATAAAGACTGTTTATGTCTTCGGAAACTTCTAAAGCAATGCGTTGGCATTATGAAGAGTGCAACAAAGATGGAGTTCTATGACATCCTAATTATTCTGAAGCTTGGAAAAAATTTGATAGTAAATATCCCGAATTTGCTGGAGACCCTCACAATGTATGCCTAGGATTAGCTTCTGATGAGTTTAATCCATTTGGCACAATGCGAACTGTTCATAGTACATGGCCAGTGATTTTAATGCCATATAATCTTCCTCCATGGATGTGCATAAAACAAGAGTTCTTCATTCTGTCCTTACTTATTCCTGGACCCAAAGCGCCTGGCAATAATATCGATGTATTTTTTGCAACCTCTAATAGAAGAGTTAAATGAATTATGGGATGTTGGGGTAGAAACATACGATGTCTCTACTAAGGAGATATTTCAAATGCGAGCATCTCTCATGTGGACTATAAATGACTTTCCTGCATATGTTACTCTCTCTGGATGGTGTACTTATAGTCGGTTTGCATGCCCTTCTTGTAACATAAACACTCAATCTAGAAGGCTGAAACATGGCAGAAAGTTTTGTTACATGGGGCATCGACGCTTCTTGAAGTCGGGACACAAATATCGGAATGATGCGAAATCATTTGATGCAACTAAAGAAACAAAACCTGCACCTTGTGCGACGACCCAACCGGTCGTCTCAAGAATTAATGCCCCGATTCCCTATTAACTGCTTTCCCCAAGTTTATTTCTGCTATTTTGATTTGACGGAATGTTCGGCTTTGAGTTTCGGGGAGTTTTGGGACACTTAGTCCCTAAATGAGAGCTCAAGTGTTGGAAAGTTGACCGTAGTCGGAACAGTATGAAGACAACCTCGGAACGGAAATTCGACGGTTCTGTTAGCTCCGTTGGGTGATTTTGGGGTTAGGAGCATGTTCGGATTGTGTTTTGGAGGTCCGTAGCTAATTTAGGCTTGAAATGCCGAAAGTTAAATTTTGGAAGTTTCCGATTTTATAGCGAGATTTTGATCCGAGGGTCAAAATGGAATTCTGAGAGTTGCAGTAGTTCTGTTATGTCATTTGGGATGTGTGTGCAAACTTTCAGATCATTCGGACGTGTTTTGATTGGGTTTTTGATCGAAAGCGGAATTCAAAAGATTTTAGAAACTTAGGCTTGAATCCAATGGGTTTTGATTGTTTTGAAGTTTTTTTGAAGTGTTTTGAAGATTTGTACAAGTTTGAATAAGGTTTTAGGATATGTTGATATCTTTGGTTGAGGTCCCGGGGTCCTCGGGATGAATTCGGATGGTTGACAAAGGAAATTTTGGAGTGAAGCTGCAGCAGCAGTTGGTCTTCTGATATTTTCGCATCTGCAGTTTGGGGACCGCAGATGCGGCGCCGCAGAAGCGGCTAAAGGGCCGCAGAAGCAGCTTTGTCAATTCCTCACGAACCACAGATGTGGTGAAGGGATCACAGAAGTAGAACCGCTCCTGCGGTTAGAGGTCCACAGATGCGGAAGCTGGCATTTTAATGAAAGTCGCAGATGCGACGTTGTGTCCGCAGATGCGGTCCCAGGGCCGCAAATGCATAAATCGCTGGGCAGAACATATAAATAGTTGCCTTCGCGAATTTGAGGGATTCTTTCACCATTTTCATCCGGGTTTGAAGCTTTTGAGAGAGATTTTTGAGGAAAACAAAGGGGAATCACTTGGAGGTAACGTCCTTGACTTTATAACTCGTTTTTATGTGATTAAAGACCTAATTAGTGGCGAGAAATTTGGGAAAAATGGTAATTAGGGCTTGAGTTTAAGAGGCCTTTAATTGAGGATTTGAGGGGCCATTTGGACTCCGATTTCAGTGTTCTTATTATGTATAGACTCGTGAGAGTACGAGGTTTCTGAAAATGTAAATTTCACCCGATTCCGAGACATGGGTCCGAGGGGAATTTTGGTTATTTTACATAATTTCGTGTATTAGCTTAGAATTTAATTGTAGAATTAGTTACTTGAAGTGTTATTTACATTACTTAGATTTCCGGTAGACCCCCTTGCACATTTACTTTGGGACTACGGGTCAGATTCCCGGTAGATCCCCCGCACAGTTATATGGAACTAAAGGAATGCACCCAGTAGATTCCCCCAGTACTAGGTATTTACATTTAGGACTACGGAATGAGATTCCGGTAGATCCTCGCGCACTATGAGTTGGACTACGGGACGGGATCCCGGGATATCCTTCGGACATATATATGATGAACTACGGGACGGTATCCCGGGAGATTCACTGGATATGTAAAGATGGGACTACAAGATGGTATCCTGGGAGATCCCCGATTGTTACTATTTGTGCTGAGCTGTATTTCTTTTCCATGTTTACCGTGTTCTATATAATTGTTGTTGTTCTGTATATCCTGTATTATTTTACTACCATACTTATTTATACTATTCTGTCCTATACTGTTGATCTTTATATTTGTTTAACCTAAGTAGGGCCTTGACCTTCCTCGTCACTACCCAATCGAGGTTAGGCTTGGCACTTACTGAGTACCGCTATGGTGTACTCATGCCTCTTCTGTGCATGTTTTTCATGTGCAGATCTAGGTACTTCTACTCAGGCCTATCATCCTTGAGGGAGGCGACTACTTAGAGACTTCGAGGTATATCTGCCGCGTTCGCAGACCAAGGAGTCCCTTTCTATTCCTTCCTTTTAGTATTTAGCCCTTCTGTACTTTCTGTTCTTATTAGACAAATTCCGGAGTTAGAGTTATGTAGTATTTCCTTTTCTTAGCTTGTGAATCATGGGTTTCTGGGTCTTGGATTTAGATATTGGTTTTGAGATCTATATAAATATGGTGTATGTCGAGCGACACATTTAACATTGTTATTGCCTTATTTCTGTTTTTAAATTGTTTTACTTTTGCAAGTTTTGGTTATCTTCCACAAGTTTTGGTTATCTTACGCAAGTTTAGGCTTACCTAGTCGTAGAGACTAGGTGCCGTCATGATGGTTCACGAAGGGCGAACTGGGGGCATGACACATTGTCCAGCATCTGGGTCAGTAGTGCTGAATCAAGTTAAAGATATAAAATTTACTCTCGGCCAATCAAGTGAAGGGGTAAGTGGGGTGATGAAAAACACATGGAAAAAGAGAAGTATTTTTTTCGATCATCCTTATTGGAAATTTAACTTGGTGCGCCATAATCTTGATGTGATGCACATAGAAAAGAATGTGTGCGATAACTTAATTTATACACTATTGAATCTTGGTAAAAAGTCTAAAGACAACTTAGAAGCTCGATTGGACTTGAAGGATATGAAAATAAGACCAAGATTATGGCCTCAATATCGAGCTAGTGGGAGAGCATATACTCCTGCTACTTTTTTCACAATGTCTCAACATGAAAAGGAGTTATTTTATGAAGTACTACACAATGCCAAGTTTCCAGATGGCTATAGGTATAATATTTCATGTTGCATTCGCAAACGAAAGTTATCTGGGCTAAAAACTTATGATTGTCATGTTATAATGCAAGAACTTCTTCCTCTTGCCTTGCGGAAATCAGTAGATAAAAGAGTAAGTTCAATTTTAATTGAACTATGCACATTCTTTCGTGTTTTGTGTAGCAAAGAGCTAAAACTAGAAGAGTTAAACCTACTTGAAGAAAAAATCCTAGAAACATTGTCTACTATGGAGAAACTCTTCCTCCCAGGATTCTTTACTGTTATGATACACTTGGTTATTCACTTGGCAACTGAGGCTAAACATGCGGGACCAGTACATTATCACTGGTTGTATCCAATTGAGAGGTATGTAGAATATCACTAAATCTTTGTTATATGTCTTTAGTTGTTAAATACTCTAATATCAAACTAATAACATTACTTTGTTCCATAGGTATTGGGTACTTTAAAATCATATGTTCATAATCGTGCATGTCCAAAAGGTTCAATAGCGGAAGCATACATAGCAAATGAGTGTATGACATTCTGCTCACATATTTAGAGGGTGGAGATTCAAGGTCTTATTGTTCAAGAAAATGGAGTGATGAAATTGAGCATGAGACTAATAAAGAAGAATCTCTTTTTCCTACTGTTGGGGAGTCGTACAGTAGAGTAGATGTATTTGAGTTGGATGACAAAACATGGTTGCAAGCACATCGGCATGTGCTTTTCAATCTTGAATCAGAAGTGGTTGAGAATTATAAAAAGTAAGTGTTATATCTATTATTTAATATATATATTACTTATTTTATAACAAAATTGATATATGCGAGTTACATGTATAAGGAACATATCGTTGATATCAAAAGAGCACATCGTAGGCGTCGTTTGCCACAACATCAACTTGATCGTGTGCATTTCGATACATTTCATGAGTGGTTCAAGGAGCAAGTAAATAGTAGGACTAAGTCATTATTTACGTTAAATTATTATCCTTGTACAAATATCCACATTTATAGTTGTATCTTTTATTTGGTTAGGTAAAGGAGTTGGAAGCCACGTCTAATATCTTAAAGGATGTTAAAGTCCTAGCACAAGGACCGAGTTACATTGCAAAAAGATTCAGTGTGTTCAATGTTAATAATGGGTATCGATTCCGAACAGAACAAAACAAAGTGAAGAGTTCAATGTGACACAAAATAGTGGTATTATGGTCATTTCAAAGACTGAAAGTTATGCAAGTACAAGTGATAATGCTCCAAAATCTACAAATATCACATATTATGGCAGATTGAATGATATTGTGGAGTTAAACTACTATGAAAAATTTAAGGTCATCTTATTTAAGTATGATTGGGTTGATGTAACCAAAGGTAGAGGAATTAAGGAAGATGACTTGGGTTTCACACTTGTGAATTTCGCACACCTGGCAGACTCTGGCGATCGAGAACGTCATGAGCCCTTTATTTTTGCAGAACAAGCTCAACAAGTAATATTTGTGCAAGATCCTCAAGATCATGAATGGTTTGTCCCTAGGTTAATTAAACCTCGAGACATTTTTAATATGGGAGAAGAAAATAGTGTGCAGTTTGAGTCATCAACGCAAAGTGATGCCACTGACTTGGCTCTTTTAGAAAATGCTTGTGTTTTAGAAGATGAGTATAATGATTGAGTAAGAAGTGGTGTTGATGGGATAATAATTGATACAAACGTAGATTCTCAACCTTCTCCAAATGATGGTGAAGCTAATGTTGAGGGAGAAAATAACATAGAAAATGAATGTGATTCTGAATAAGATAGGTGGTACTTATAGAATATTTTTGCTGCAAGTGTTATGTAATAAACTCTAAGGGTGTTATTTTTTTGCTTCAGAAATTTGAATATTGGATGTTTGAGTGAATTTATTGTTCTTTCTTCTACTTATATTTTGCTTATTGTATCCATTTAAATGTGATATTATAAGGTGGTACTATCACTTGATAATTATTTTCCTAGTGCATAAATAACTCTTATCTCTAGAACAATATTTGTCGCAAGGCTTTGTTTGCGTTATCTGAGTTGTTGATATTTTTCACATATTGAGATTTGGATGATGCTTCCTCATGTTTTGCAAGTGGCCTGCTGATTTGTTGGAGTCAATCTAGTACTAATATAGTGTAATGCAGCTAGATAATTTTTTTATTTTGGAGAAGGAACTATCTGAACTAGAGGTTGCAACCGACTGGTAATTGAACAAGATGACGATGAAGATGTGCGACCTTATATTGAGTATTTTATGTATGGTCAAAACCATTCTGCAACCCAACCTTATATTGAGCAGTTGATGGATAATCAGAACTCTTCTGAAGACCACGTACATGATGATCAATCTTATGATTTAAATAGTTCTGCTGGTGGTACTGAAGTTCAACAAAATGATGATGAATCAGGTAACACTTTTCTCTGGAATCATTTTAAATCTCAATTGTGTGAATACAATGGTTAATCTAACTAGTTTATATAGTGTAATTAGCAACTGTGATTTTCTATAATTTCTATTGTGATATCGAACTAGTTATATAGTGCAACTTGCAACAATTAAGAGAGTGTCTTCTCTGAGTGTATGTGAAATTGTAACATTGCATCTTGACATTAGTTGCTTGATCTCCTCCACTTCTCTTGCTATAGACCAAGGGATAGGCCATTCTCCTTCCACTGCATTCTTCAATATCATTAAATCTGTATGCATGTCTATAAGAACATAGTCATGTATTTCCACCTTTTTTTTTGAATCAAAGCAGCCTTGTTTTCTTGTCTGATTTTATTCAAACGTCCAGTGCTAGAAACTTGAGTTGTATTTATAGAGTTTAGTGGTTTGGAACTTACCAAGGCATCGAGCAAATTCCTGTCCTCCAAAGTGATAGCTGGTAACATTATGTCCTGCTGCTGCTGCTCACTAGTTGTAAGTGTACCTACAGCTCCTGCTGTCATTGCATTCTATTGCTGCTGTCCGGAATTGTTAGGTGTTGTTGCTCGTCGAACATCAACATTAGTACCAGCTGTAGTAAGTTGTTGCTGCCGCACATAGTGGCTTGAAACATCACCTTGAGTAATCTGATTATTGGGAGTTGCTGCTGTTTGAAATTTGCTTCCAGCTTCTGCATTTTTTATTGCAGCAACTGAAGTGTTCTCAAGCTGCTGCTGCCCATCTTGCTTTGTTACTGTCACTGTCTTTGATCGAGCTTTAGTTTTGTTTATTCTATCAAGTTGCTGCCTCGATAAAAAAATGAAATCTGGTGCCTTAGCATTAAGCTTACTGCTTGAACCTACTTTTGACGAGATGCTAATTCTAGACAGTGTAGGCGAGCCAACCGATAACCTCTCTTCCTCTTCATTTTCTTGATCATCTTCCTCAATTGAATCTCCTGCAAACTCACCAGCCCAGTTTTCTTCACCCTCATATTCACATTGCTGAGACCAAAGCTTGGTTTTAATTACCATCTCCCTAAAATTTGCCTTGATTATTTCTTTGTTGTTTTCTGTGGACAGAACCAATTGCTCACCACCATGTTCTCCACAAGACTCCAATGACTCTGTTGGAACTTCAAAAATAGAGGTTAATGTAACCATAGGTTGTTTCACCATATTATTATTCAACATCATTGCATTTTGAGCATCCTTAATAATTTGTTCGACGTGAGGAGTAGAAAAATGCAGTGTTGGAACATTAGAGTTATGAGCATGTTTGCCCATAAGCTCCTCTACTAGATTTTTCTTTGAAACATTTGGTCGAGCATGGTTGTCCCTCGGTAAATTGCCATTAGCCAGAGGTTCTTTGGCACTGTTATTGCATGGTACTAACTCCTTGGATATCCCATTACCATTTAAACCAGTTGCATCACCTCCAGCATCTCCATCAGTTACTATTTAAACCTTTCCTTGTCATTATACTGTTATTTAACAGATTTAACCATATAAGTTTTTGCCATTTGATGACCTTTGAATCTTCTATTCTAGGTAATTTGGAGCCAAGAAAGGTTCGTGGGCCTACTTTACTAAAAGATATTTGGAAACTTCCTCCGGGGAAGGTAGTTCATGTGCCGTTTAATAATCGTAACCAAGCTATTAGGGAAAAAGGTCGAAAGCTTGCTAGCTTTCTAGGAATCATTGCGAGAACTCCAGAACTAACACCTTTACATGTAGATGATTGGAGAAATTTTGAAAAGGAGGAAAAGAAGAAATTGGTGGATTTTGTGAGGGTATGGAGTAGTTATTATTATTATTATTATTATTATATGAATGGGTTCAATCTTTTATACATGATATTTTTTTCAAAATATTGGCTTTATTTTTTTAGAAGAAGTTCTCTATCCCAAGACGAGGAGAAACTTATGTCCTAAAGCCACTAGGAAAGAAATGGAAAGATTACAAGTGTGAGTTAAAAGGTGAATATTTGCAAAAAATAAGACTAAAGACCTTTTGCTGAAAAATAGACCAAGTCGCATACCGAGGGATCAATGGAGTGGTCTTGTTCCTTATTGACTTTCAGAAAAAGCTAAGGTATTAACAAATTTTTAAAACACCTCTAGTTGATTATTTTCAGTGTTTTGATTTTAGTTATGCTCAATTTTTATGTATAATTTATAAGATATAATTTTAATATTTCAACGAAAGAGGCGTTCCCAAGCAAATAGAAATAATAGGGCCAATCAAAAGATGTGTCACACAGGAGGATCCAAAAGTATTGCTACCTTGATGGATGAGCAGGTAAACTTGTTCAAATTACTTACTATAATGTTTTAATTTTTTTTTTCCACGCATATCTTACATCAATTTTATTGTATTAGGCTGTAAATGGGATAGAGCCTACACGAGCACAAGTTTTCATATTAACTCATACAAAACGTAAGGATGGTAGACCACTGGATGATGATTCTGTCAAGGCAATTGTAAGATTTCTTTTTTTCTTTTATTTTCTTAATTGGGAAATAGTTAGGAAAAAACATAAAAGCGAATAAATGAATTCCAAATTGAATCTATGTATTTTATGGCCAGGAAATGATAAATGAAAAGGCGAACAATAGTGAGAGCTCTACTGACCAACCTCCTCACGTTGTTGCTTGGGAAGGCGATCTGTATTCTCAGGTGTTCGGAAATGACAAAAGTGGATATGTTCGTGGTTTAGGACTTGGTCCAACTCCTTCTATTCTATGGGGTAGTAGATCTTCCTTAGAAAATATTGTTGGAGAGGATTCGTCTAATGAAGCTGTCCAAAGGTTAACACAAGAGATAACCGAGTTAAAGGATAAACACAATGAAGAAATGAATCTGATAAAATAAAATCAGGAGAAGATACAATCAGAATTACTCGAAATGCGACAATTGATACGCAAATATGCTTCCAATGAATCTATGCCTCAAAATATCAATGGCACCTCAATTAAACAGGTAACTCGATTTTATAAGTTATGTACATTATTAATGAAGTTTTAATCCTATAAAAGTATTGTTATTTGATGTGTTAATATTTATCAGGTCCCTGTTGCCAATAGTGGCCATGAACGAGTACCACAAATATCAAGGATACCTAATGATGCTGAAAATACTTCAATGTCTCATGGTACTACTCATCTTTATCCTTCGGCAAGCTAATATTTGAATTTTCTATTGTTTGATCAAACTTCTGCAGTTTTCTTCCTTCTTCTGTAAATTCTCGTGAATTTCTTCAAACCTTATTCATCTTCACCTTTCTTCTTGACTCTAATCTTCTTCTCCATCTCTGATTAAGTCATCCCTTGCGCTAGTTAGCTGAATCCGTGCGTGACAGCTGAAGTAGTAATAGTTAGCCTATTTGAAAGTTATTATAGTGTTCCATTCATTCTAGTTGAAAGAGTAAAGTTATAGGATTCTAGCTGAATTCTACTTAATCTGATATCATTGGTTGCCTTGCTTGATCGAAATAGTGTCTATATAGTGTTCTGAAAATATAGAGTTTAGTGGTTTGGAACTTACCAAGGCATCGAGCAAATTACTGTCCTCCCAAGTGATAGCTGGTGACGTTATGTCCTGCTGTTGCTGCTCACCTGTTGTAAGTGTACCTACAGCTCCTGCTGTCATTGCATTCTGCTTCTGCTGTCCGGAATTGTTAGGTGTTGTTGCTCATCGACCATCAACATTAGTACCAACTGTAGTAAGCTGTTGCTGCTGCACATAGTGGCTTGAAACATCACATTGAGTAATCTGATTATTGGGAGTTGCTGCTGTTTGAAATTTGCTTCCAGCTTCTTCATTTTTTATTGCAGCAACTGAAGAGTTCTGAAGCTGCTGCTGCCCATCTTGCTTTGTTACTGTCACTGTCTTTGATCGAGCTTCAGTTTTGTTTATTCTATCAAACTGCTGCCTCGATAAAGGAATGAAATCTGGTGCCTTAGCATTAAGCTACTGCTTGAACCTACTTTTGACGAGCTGCTAATTCTAGGCAGTGTAGGCGAGCCAACTGATAACCTCTCTTCCTCTTCACTTTCTTGATCATCTTCCTCAATTGAGTCTCCTGCAAACTCACTAGCCCAGTCTTCTTCACCCTCATATTCACATTGCTGAGACCAAAGCTTGGTTTTAATTACCATCTCCCTAAAATTTGCCTTGATTATTTCTTTGTTGTTTCCTGTGGACAGAACCAATTGCTCACCGCCATGTTCTCCACAAGACTCCAATGACTCTGTTGGAACTTCAAAAACAGAGGTGTTTAATGTAACCATAGGTTGTTTCACCATATAATTATTCAACATTATTGCATTTTGAGCATCCTTAATAATTTGTTCGACGTGAGGAGAAGAAAAATGCAGTGTTGGAACATTAGAGTTATGAGCATGTTTGCCCGTAAGCTCCTCCACCAGATTTTTCTTTGAAACATTTGGTCGAGCATGGTTGTCCCTCGGTAAATTGCCACTGGCCAGAGGTTCTTTGGCACTGTTGTTGTATGGTACTAACTCCTTGGATATCCCATTACCATTTAAACCAGTTGCATCACCTCCAGCATCTCCATCAGTTACCATTTAAACCTTTCCTTGTCATTATACTGTCATACCTAAAGTAGTTACGAAATGACTTGAGAATAGCTAAATTTCTAAGCTATAGAGCACTAGATTCATGCAGTAAGATTTGCTTTACCAGAAAATCTGTTGCCAACTGAAAATTTTGGGTGAAGAATGCTCAAAAGGTTGATTTGATATGTTTGCTTGTATGATATGCATTTACAGATATACTAAAATACTTAATAGATGAGACTATACATACTTTTGGGATATTAATGAAGCAGATTCTTGCAATTTTGCTTGTGTCCCTTTCTGGTTATGGACTTTTAGTTTCATAACCTCGCAAACTATTATCAGCTTTGTTGTTTGGCAACATTTACTTCCTATTGACATAGTTATTTTATAATTTCAGGTCATAGAGTCTGATGTTCGATAATTTAGGGGGTGGAAGATTTCAATATGACGAAGAGTTTCAGAGATTATTTGAAGATTGTTATTCGTTAAGATTAGTTATAAAGTGACATTAGCTATTTACTTCAAACAATATGAGTTATTTTTTAAAGTTTTGTGATATTAAAATTTTGGATTAGTACTTCCTTTTGTTTGTTAAGATTTAACGAGATATACTATTATGAATTAATATCAATATGTTTTGTTATTTGCATTATTTTTTGGTTGAATATAGTAGCTATTATTAATGGTGGCTACCATTATAGCTTGTGAATTTTAGTGCCAATTTAACAGGATTAAGATGTTTATACAAGGATATTATAATCATTATATTGCTATTAAAGATAATTTTTAGCGGCAATTTAATTGACTTTACTATCCATGAAAATGGACGCTAAAGGGGCATACTAATACGTTTTTAGAAGAGATATTGTTGCCACTTTAATTGCCACAAAACAATTACCGCTAAAGCTATGGACTTTTAGCGACAAATATTTTGAATTTAGCGGCTATAAAAATGGATGTTAAAGGAGCATTATTAGTCGTTTTTCGAATGGGTTTAGTAGCCATAATAATTGCCGCAAACAATTGCCGTTAAAGCAGATGAGTTTTAGCGGCAATAAGTCATACCTTTTACCAGCTTTTGGCAGAAATGCCGCTAAAGGCTTTACCGACTCCGGCATCACTGGCTAAAGATCAATTGCCGGTAAATGATATAGCGTCTATTGTTATTGCCGCCAATGCTGTTTTTATTGCCACTAAAGGTCCTTTTTGTAGTGTTTAGACCAACAAATTTATTGTGCCCCTATAATTAACTATGAAATTTTATTTGTTTAATTTTGTACTTACTTAAGGGTGCTTGAGTATTTCACTCTTATTGTTGATTACTCTTCTATAGATCGAGTCAGTCTAACAAATTAACATTTAACATTCTCTAATTGTCTATCATGTTAATCGATTCGACCCATAAAAGATCAAAAAGTTACATTTTAAAGGCATATTTAGTGAATATTATATCCTTTTCTTTTCTACCTGCTAGCCTCCTTAAATTTTTAAATTTTAATAAAATTTAGTGACTTAGAATTGAAGACATTCTTCGTCAGACATGCATCTTCATATATTCAAGTATTTTCAAATGAATCTTTGATCATTTACTCGTAAAATGTGATCATTGATATATGATACCTATAAAAAGTGACAATTAGACCATTCTCGTAAGGGTGGCCAAGTTGATTGAGTAGGATACCCCAAATGGGATATCGTAGGTTCGAACCCCCTACATGCTTTCTCGATTAAGCTAGTCGCACGGGGCTAGCCTAGTGCGATTTATGTCACGACCCAATTCCATTATAGGTCATGATGGTGCCCGACACCCTTGTCAGGCAAGCCAACGCGGAAGTATTAATAAATTCTCATTTTCACTTTACTAAAACAAGTACAAAAATTTCTAAATTTGAAGTTAAAAGCATGTGATAATTAGTAATGTACAAAAATAGTTATACAATCCCCAAATGAATAGTCTACCAATGTGTGTGCCACGACCTGGTGTCATAATTTTATGGGCAACTAGTATAATATACAAAAGAATAAATCTATCCTACTGTCTGAAAGAGAATAGACAGCCAAAATAAAGAGAGACTCCATCATGCTGCTAAATGGCACAGGAAGGGAGCAGCTCACCGTGGAAGTCTCGGACACTGATCAAGAATGTGCACCAGACTGGTAATCAGATGTACCTGCCTCAGATCCTGTACAATTAAGTACAAAAGTATAGTATGAGTACATAAACAATATGTACCCAGAAAGTATCCTGTCTAATCTCGAAGAAATAGAGACGAGAGGTCGACTTGACACGTACTAGGGTCAAATAATATGAGAAATGAATCATACTGAGCATGGATAGTACAAATAATTAACAGTTTATAGCAGGAAATAATAGGTCATTTCCTAGATAATATCACAGTTGGCCACTTACATTTCAGGGCATATAACAAACCTCAATCCACAGAAAAATACTGAGTAAAAGCATACGCAAGTAGTGCCGAGGTCGTACGACCCGATCCAACATAAAAGTAAATTGTACACTGCCTAGGGTCAAACGGTGTGAACCATAGATGCATCTATTATCCGGCTCGCGAATCAGACATGCAACGCGGTCAAATAAAATTAAACACAACAACAAGCAGACAAGAATATGTGTCTGGGGAGCAGTTACTCACAGAAATATCAACTTCTCTTTAAAAAGGACAAAGAAAGATAATGTTCCTCTTACTAGTCTCATTTACCATAATCAACATGTTTTAAATTATTCAAATTAAACATAAAGTTATAAGAATATCATATAAAGCATGCCTTTGGGTCCTAGACTACCCGGACTTAGCATAATAATAGCTACGCACAAACTCTCGTCACCTAGTGCGTACGTAGCCCCCACATTTAATGAAAAATTATTTGATTACATCACCTATGGGGACAATTCCCTCTTACAAGGTTAGATATGAGACTCACCTCGCTCCAAAGTGTACTTCCAATACCAAGAGCGTGCTCAAAACCCTCAATTTGGAGCCGAACGATCCAAAACTAATCAAACAAGGTAGGAACTAGTCAATACAAGCTCAAGAGTTCGCATTTTAATTACTAAAGTAATTTCCCAACCTTGAACACAAGTTTCTTAAAATTCGACCCCGGGCCCATGTGCCCGGATTCCAAATTTTTTTGAAGAGAGTTGTTCTTTATAACCTAAGAATCAATAATATATGATTTCTAATTCATTTCATAACAAATTTTGTGGTTAAATCCATCTTTTATCAAAACCCTCGGTTTTGCTCTAACCCCATGATTTTTCCTTAATCTTTGTGTGTTAATCTACCCAAGACTCAAGTATTAAACTAGAAATAGGTAGGATAAACTTACCTCAAGATGCTAGGTGAAAGTCCTCTCTCAAGAGCTCCAAAATCGCCCAATGGGTGAGTGAAAAAGGGCCAAAATGGCTTAGAGCCCGTATTAAATGAAGCTCACTACTTCAGTGATTGTCGCATCTGTGGTCAGGGGACCGCATCTGCGGTCCCGCTTCTACAAGAGGAAGGCCGCATCTGTAGAATTGGCTAAGCGAGCTAGGACCGCTTCTGCGGCTTTGGCTTGGCCTGCCTTGGCCGCATCTGCGAGAGGATGACCGCTTCTGCGGTCTCACACCTGCGGCTGACCAACCGCAGGTGCGGTTATGATAGCAACCTGAAGCTTCAGCTCTTCCCAAATTTTCCAACTTCACTCGAGCCTCGTCCGTTTGACGCTCGGGGCTCCCGGGCCCCGCCCGAGTATACCGACAAGTTTGAAATCGGGAAACAGACTCGCTCGAACCTTCGGAACGCCCAAAAGAACTTTAAATCTAAGAATCACCCCCTAGAACCAATTGAATCAAACTTATGAACTTCAAGTTCTTCAATTCACTTCTAACGCACCGAAACGTGCTTATACTACTCGGATTGACACCAAATTTTATGGGCAAGTCTTAAATGTTATATTGGACCTGTACTGGGCTCCGAAACTAACATACGAGCCTGATACCAATTTGATTAATTATTATTTAGTTTTTTAAATCCTTAGAATTTCAGTTTAACAATTTCTAATAAAAATTCATTACTTGGGCTAGGGACCTCGGAATTCGATTCCGGGCATATGCCTAGGTCCCATATTTTTCTACGGACCCTACGAGACCGTCAAAACACAAATCCGGGTCTATTTTCTAAAAATGTTGACCAAAGTCAAACTTAGCCTTTTAAGAAAATCTTAAGGATTCAAATGAGCCTATTTCAACCCAAACTCTTCCAAATCCCGAACCAACCATCCCCGCAGGTCATAAATTAGTTAAAGCAAGCACAGAAAGTTTTTATTTAGGGAGACGGGGTTTTAAAAAAACAAAATGACCGGTCGGGTCGTTACATTCTTCACCTCTTAAACAAACGTTCGTCCTCGAACGGATATATAAAAGTACCTGAGGTGCTGAATAAATGTGGATATCTGCTCCGCAAGTCCTCCTCAGACTCCCAAGTCACCTCCTCGATTGGTTGGCCCTTCCACCGGACCTTCACCGCTGAAATCCTCTTGGATCTTAACTGGCGATCATGTCTATCAATAATGGCAACTAGCTTCTCCTCATAACTCAAACTCTCATCCAGCTGAATAGCACTGAAGTCTAACACATGGGACAAGTCAGCATGATACCTCAGAAGCATTGACACGTGAAAAACTGGATGAACTCCTGATAAACTGGGGGGTAAGGCAAGCTCGTAAGCAACCTCCCCAACTCACCTCAATACCTCAAATAGACCAATAAACCTTGGGCTTAGCTTGCCCATCTTCCCGAACCTCATAACACCCTTCATTGGTGAGACTTTCAAGAGGATCTTATCGCCAACCATGAAAAATGATACATCACGCGCCTTCGGATCCGCGTAACTCTTCTATCTCGACTGAGCTGTGCGGAGCCTCTCCTGAATCAACTTTACCTTGTCCAGGGCATCTTACACCAATTCTGTACCGTATAACTTAGCCTCACCATGCTCAAACCACCCGATAGGAGAACGACACTGCCGATCATACAAGGCCTCGAATGGAGCCATCTTTATGCTGGACTGATAGCTGTTATTGTAAGCAAACTCTGCCAAGGGCAAGAACTGATCCCACTACCCTCCAAAATCAATCACACATGCTCTAAGCATGTCCTCCAAGATCTGAACTGTCCGCTCCGACTGCCCGTCGGTCTGAGGATGGAATGTTGTGCTAAGCTCTACACGGGTCCCCAACTCACTCTTAATGGCTCTCCAAAAATGGGAAGTGATCTGAGGGCCTCTATCTGATATGATGGAAATAGGCACACCGTGCAACCGGACTATCTCCCGAATGTAAATCTGAGCCAATCTCTCTGAAGTGTAAGTAGTCACAACCGGAATAAAGTGTTCCGACTTGGTCAACCTATCAACTATGACCCACACTGCATCAAACTTCCGCAAAAGTCCAGGGCAACCCAACTACGAAGTCCATAGTAATGCGCTCTCACTTCCACCTGGTATAGGCAACTGCTAAAGTTGGCCACCCAACCTCTGGTGCTCATACTTAACCTATTGGCAATTCAAACACCTAGCCACATACTCCACTGTGTCCTTCTTC